GTTTTTGGTGGTGATTTAGTTTTTTTATTTTCTCTTTTATGATCTTGTTTGTTTATGCGATTGCCATTATGATTTTGTGTGTGTGTATTTTGGAAGCATGTATTTTGTTTTGAATGCCCTTTTGTTCAGTTCCTATGCCTGCTGTGGTCTCTTCTATGCGTCGATGGTACTCGATCGTTCGCTCTCTTTCTCACCGTTATCTGTACTAACCACTACCTACTCCTGTCTCCTGCCTGCCCAGTGCCGGCCCTCAACAGACCCACTACCCCGCTGACGGCCGGGGCCCTGGTCCCCCCGCCCAGACCCTCGTCCAGACCCAAGCTGCCCACGGGAAAACTCACAGGAATCAACGAAATAGTAAGTAGGCTGAAGGGAATGTGATGAAACTACTTGCATGGCTGGGGGGGGCGTTTAAACTCCCAAGCCCAAAAGGTTGTTGGTTTAAATCCCCTGTCCCTAGGCTGGGATAATGGTAAACTCTGTAATCACTGTAACACAATTTGGAATACAAATCTAAATATGTAAATTATATATATATATATATATATATATATATATATATATATATATATATATATATATATATATATATATATATATATATATATATATATATATATATATATATATATATACACTCACCGGCTACTTTATTAGGTACACCTTGCTAGTACCGGGTTGGACCCCCTTTTGCCTTCAGAACTGCCTTAATCCTTCGTGGCACAGATTCAACAAGGTACTGGAAACATTCCTCAGAGAGTTTGGTCCATATTGACATGATAGCATCACGCAGTTGCTGCAGATTTGTTGGCTGCACATCCATGATGCGAATCTCCCGTTCCACCACATCCCAAAGGTGCTCTATTGGATTGAGATCTGGTGACTGTGGAGGCCATTTGAGTACAGTGAACTCATTTTCATGTTCAAGAAACCAGTCTGAGATGATTCACGCTTTATGACATGGCGCGTTATCCTGCTGGAAGTAGCCATCAGAAGATGGGTACACTGTGGTCATAAAGGGATGGACATGGTCAGCAACAATACTCAGGTAGTCTGTGGCTTTGACACGATGCTCAATTGGTACTAATAAGCCCAAAGTGTGCCAGGAAAATATCCCCCACACCATTACACCACCACCCCCAGCCTGAACCGTTGATACAAGGCAGGATGGATCCATGCTTTCATGTTGTTGACGCCAAATTCTGACCCTACCATCCGAATGTCGCAGCAGAAATCGAGACTCATCAGACCAGGCAACGTTTTTCCAATCTTCGATTGTCCAATTTTGGTGAGCCTCTGCGAATTGTAGCCTCAGTTTCCTGTTCTTAGCTGACAGGAGTGGCACCCGGTGTGGTCTTCTGCTGCTGTAGCCCATCCGCCTCAAGGTTCGACGTGTTGTGCGTTCAGAGATGCTCTTCTGCATACCTCTGTTGTAACGAGTGGTTATTTGAGTTACAGTTGCCTTTCTATCAGCTCGAACCAGTCTGGCCATTCTCCTCTGACCTCTAGCATCAACAAGGCATTTGCGCCCACAGAACTGCCGCTCACTGGATATTTTCTCTTTTTCGGACCATTCTCTGTAAACCCTAGAGATGGTTGTGCGTGAAAATCCCAGTAGATCAGCAGTCTCTGAAATACTCAGACCAGCCCGTCTGGCACCAACAACCATGCCACGTTCAAAGTCACTTAAATCACCTTTCTTCCCCATTCTGATGCTCGGTTTGAACTGCAGCAGATCGTCCTGACCATGTCTACATGCCTAAATGCATTGAGTTGCTGCCATGTGATTGGCTGATTAGAAATTTGCGTTAACGAGCAGTTGGACAGGTGTACCTAATAAAGTGGCCGGTGAGTGTATATATATATGCATAGTTAATAAAACAAAGTGAGATTTCTCTACGCTGTTGCAGAGTCAGAGCAACTAAGCGCCTTGAAGTTAGCGTCTACATGACAAAATGTGTTTTAAAGCACATTTCATTTTGTTGGCATATTGTTTCTTTTAATGTCACTTTGGATAAAAACGTCAAATTAAACCAAACAAGTAAAGGCCATTCGAGTGACTCGGATGACGTCGAGGACGTCGTCTAACCGACGTTGTCTGTGACCTCCGTAGGTGAGGCCCTTCAGTCCGCCCAAGATGACCAGCGCCAGCCCTCCCCCCCCGGCGCCCCTGGCCCGGGCGGAGAGCTCCTCCTCGCTGTCGTCCAACGCCTCCATGAGCGCCAGCAACACGCCTACCGTTGGTAAGGCTTACACGCACACGCACACACGCACGCACGCACACACACACACACACACACACACACACACACACACACACACACACACACACACACACACACACACACACACGCACAGAAACACACACGCACAGACACACACACACACACACGCACAGACACACACACGTGCACACACACACACACACACACACACACACACACACACACACACACACACACACACGCGCGCACAGACACACACACAGACACACACACACACACACACACACACACACGCACGTACGCGCGATGTGGCTCATCCCACCATCTGAAGGAACGGTGTCAGCCTCACACAAGTCTTTTACGCATTCCACGCACGCAACCAAGGGACGCACACACACACAGACAGACAGACAGACAGACAGACAGACAGACGCACACACACATGCACACACATGTACATAGAATAGAAAGGAACTTTATTTTCCCCAAGGGGGAATTTATTCAGGGTCAAAAATCAGTGAAGTGCAATCTTAAACATTAAGTGTGCGTGCAAAACCCAAAAACATCCCCTACAATAACACATATGCACACACACACACACACAATTTAATTAAGTTGCCGCTGCTACTCTTGCTCTGTCCCCTCCATGCTTTTTATCCTTTAATCAAATTTTCTTTTCTTTATTTACTCTTGCTCCCAAGTTGTTGTTGTTGTTTCTGTGTTTGCTCTACACCGGACCCCCACTCTACCTTTTACCTTTGCAAGAGCACTTTTTTCTTCCTCCTCCCTCTCTGATCTCCTCGCCACGTTGACCTCTGCCTCCTCCTCTGCGCTTGTTTCAGGACCTGAGCCTATCTATCCCCTGGCCCTCTCCTCTCTCGAGCCAGAGCAGTTCCTCCCTCCCCTCCCTGCCTTCCAAAGTGAGTCTGGTCCTTCCTTCGGACCCCGACCTTGACCATGACCCTGGGGTTGAACCAGCTCAGACCACTGGTTCTAGATCTAGCACTAACTCCTCCAACATAACCCGTCCACCAGACACGCAGTCCCATTCTAAACCCCAAATCCTCTTCATCCTTACCATCTCGAGTCATCTCCACCATGAGCTTTTATTGCTTCCTCGGTTTTGCTTACTGTGTTTATGCTTTGTTTATGCTTTGTTCATGACGTTGGCTGGTAAAGAGGATGATGATTTCATAGCCAAGCTGCCGACCTATGAGAAGCGCTGTGAGACGCCAGCAGGTAGGGGGGGTGCTGGACACACAGCAGGGCTCGTCTTAACCGGGGAGGGGAGTGTAACGATTCACACAGCTGACTCAATAGTAACTCCAAACCCTTTTTTTATTTGTTTTTTATATTTTCGTTTTCAGTATGATTTTAAAAATCCAGTACATAACATCTGACATTATTTTACAAGTACAAAATAATAACGAAATCACAATATCGGTAGGTTTTTGATTCTTAGTACATCATTTGAGCTTTATTCAATCACACACACATACAGGATGCACAGTGAAACGAAAGTGCAGTACTTCATGCAGTCTCTATTTTGAGGCGTTAAATTGAAATCGTTACAACCCCCCCCCCCCCCCGGGTCGCTCTGTTCACTAACGCTAGTGTCGGTCTTCTACCGAACACGCTGGGCGGACCACGTGTCATGTGACTCACCAATGCCCTCGTCGCCATGCAACCCATCTGAATGTCCACATCATGTTTGTGCCTCGATCGAATATCTAATCTATGTTTTGATATATGGATTATTAGTTAATTGTTTATTGTGTCACTGTGATCGATCGTCGCCATTTGATGAGCTTTTATTTTTGACGAACCACACACTAATGTATTGACCAGCAATTATTAATGGATTTAATCTTTACTAATACATTCTTGTTTGTTTGCTTGTTCTTGTATGTAAAAGTGTTATACTGAATGTGATTTATTTGAATGAGTGAATGCAATCATGAAAAAAACCCTAACAATAAGTAAGTAATAATAATCTATGAATTGAATAACGCTTCTTTGCACGATTTGCAGCAAACTCTCCGATATGACGATGGGATCTTTAACTAACGTAACGCATACAATATAATATAATCTCTACCAGATTAGCAGGATAATAACACACATGTGTGTATTTTTGTCTTGCGTCAGGAACGTCTCGCGGGCCTAGTCCTGTCACTCTGGCATCCCAGGATGCATTGCCCATCGCCGTGGCGTTCACAGAGTCTGTCAACGCCTACTTCAAAGGAGCCGATCCCACAAAGTATGTGTGTGTATGTGTGTGTGTCTCCCCCCCCCCCCCCCCCCCCCCAAAAACATTGGCAAGCTGTTGACAAATTACACGTCATATTCAGTTATTCATATTTCAAAGAGGCTCAAAGAGTCATATTAGAAATGCTGACATGTGGGCAAAAACCTTTATGCATGACTGCCAGTGTGTGTTGTGTGTGTGTGTGTGTGTGTGTGTGTGTGTGTGTGTGCGCGTGCGTGCGTCCCTTGGTTGCGTGCGTGGAATGCGTAAAAGACTTGTGTGAGGCTGACGCCGTTCCTTCAGATGGTGGGATGAGCCACATGGGGCAGATTAAAAGGCCAGGGCAGAGAAAACATACACTCTTTTTATTGGTTAACTGCTGCTCAATTGCCGACGTGGAAAAAGAGGAAAAATGTTATTTTTGTAAGGGTGGTGGTGGTGAGGGTGGTGGTGGTGGTAGTAGGGGGGGGTGGTTAGCGAATGGAACATATTTTAATAAGCCGTGCGTTGGAGGCACGCGGCAGGTTGGCCCGGTGTTGCTCAACTGTCGGAGCGTGGCGTTAACACTGCCACGGTTAGGGGTTCGATTCCCACTGGGGCCTAGCCGTGCCTGAAACGCATGCACTCACGGTGTGATAGCACGATGCCTTGGATGAAAGCGGCCACCCAGTGACGTATTTTATACATTTACACATTTAGTGCAGGGATGTCGAACTCATTTGAGGTTGCGGGCCAAACGCTACTACTAAAAAATCACTTCTGATACGCTTGAGAATATAACATTCTTCACAAAGTCGACCGGTGTATTTGTCGTAACTTTTTTTTTTTTAACCGCCACTTGCTGTGCTGTGCACACTCGGCACGCTGAGTTTCCGTTGACTTCGGTGAATAAATACTTATTCTTCCAAACATCTTAAAAAATGATTTGTTCTGTATCCACTTGTATGATGAACTTGCACATAGGGCTGAGCGATATGGCCATAATCTTCTATCCCGACATAGGTAATTTAATATCTTGATAACGATATGTATCAGGGTATAGCATGTTTTCTGGTAATTGAATAAATATATTGTCCATATAAAATAACCACATGGTAAAGCCTATTTTTGTATACTCCTGTGTGAATTAAATACTTGACGAATGAAAAGTATTTTCTCATTTTTTTCATCACTTCACTGTAATGCAGCCTTTAAAACTAGGAAAAGACAACACTTATGCCATATCACGATATCCAAAATCTAAGACGATATCTAGTCCCATATCACAATATCGATATAATATCGATATATCGCCCAGCACTACTTGCATGTCCATGACACCCCCATCGCGGTGTGCTGCTCCTCTTCTCTTGGATCGTTCAGGTGGTTCAAACCGTCTTCTTCTTCTTCTTCTTGTCGCTGTCGCAGGTGCATCGTGAAGATCACAGGGGACATGACGCTGTCGTTCCCCATGGGCATCATAAAGGTGTTCACCTCCAACCCCTCCCCTGCCGTGCTCACCTTCAAGCTCAAGAACACCAGCAAGCTGGAGCAGATCCTGCCCAACCAGCAGCTACTGTACAGGTAGACACAACTTTTTGGTGGGTTTTTTAAGCCCATGAAATGTTAATGACTGCAAATCATGACTATTTTATTACATAGGGACTAATATAGTTCCAAAACAGAGCATGAAACTGATGTGCGGCACAGTTTATAGCTATTGCTAATTTTCAACTCTAGTCCCTAGTTGGGCTTTAACATGTACAGTGTAATTAAAATACACAGCTTTCGGTATCATAAAACAGCAATACACTACATATATGGAAAGGCAGTAAAATACACTATATTGAAATCATCTTGTGTAATATAATTTGAGCCAGTTTTGTGAAGCATAATTTGAACCGATGACGTCTTTCAGAAAACAATTGTAATGCAACATAATCCCCTTTTGGATTGACCAATAGCTCTGTAGTGTTTTTCTAGGACAGCGTTATGTGTACATGCTCTTTCATCCATCTTGGAGTACGAAGAAGTTAAATGTGAATTTTTCGGTGTTGCAATGTTCGACTTTGACTGCGCGGTTGGCTCAGTATTACAATGAGACTTCAGATGAGATGAATGTTGAGCAAGTGTTGACATGGGGAAATTCAATTAGCATTTCTGTCACAGTTGCTTAGCTGCTAGCTAGGATCCACCGTTCATCAACATCCAGCATCCCCCCCCCCCCCCCCCCCCCCCACGCCCTACATATCCTCCATGCAGGGCTGTGAAATGGAAAGAACCATTTTCCAAACACCCGCTTCTAATAACAGTGGTTTGGTCTTAACACGGCTAATGCGAGCCTCTGTCAGCCACAGTGGAATAACAGTTATTCCTCAACTGAAAAAAAGTTAATCATCGGTACACCGTCTTGCAGTCATCTAAATCAATACCGACTGCCCTTTTTTGGCCTCGGGTTTTTTGCCCCTAAGTGTTAAGACAAATAGACCAGAGACATTTGTTTTGGCGAACACGATACAAGTTGAGATTTTTCTGACCTGATCAATTTCTGAAGATCGTTTCTTTTGGTCCTCTGTCTCTCTCTCTCCGTCTCTCTCTCTGTCTCTGTCCCTGTCTCTCTTTGTTTTTGTCTCTGTCTCTGTCTCATTCTTTCATTCATTAATGGATTCATTCATTAATGCATTCTTCCTTTCTTTCTTTCTTGCTTTCTTGCTTTCTTTCTTTCTTTCTCTCTTTCTCTCTTTCTCTTCTCTTTCTCTCTTTCTCTCTTTCCCTCTTTCCCTCTTTCCCTCTATCTCTTTCTCTCTCCCTCTCTCCCTGCCCCCTTCCCTCCCACACGGCTAGCCATGTTATTCCAAGGCCACACAGCCTGACTAATTGAATTAAAGGGGCATGGTGATTTAATAGGCCGCTCGGCTACGGTGCACGGTCATTCTTTCCAAGCTGTTGGAGCTTTACACTGAAAGCCAAGAAGGCCCAATGACTACTTGAGCCTTTGATCACTGTGTGTGGGTGTGTGTGTGTGTGTCTGTGTGTGTGTGCGTGTGTGTGTGTGTGTGTGTGTGTGTGTAGCGATCCCCCTCCGAGCGACTCCGACTCCAGGGACTTCTGGTTCAACATGCAGGCGCTGATGTCCTACCTCAGGAAGGCCGCGGAGCAGAACCCCACCGCTTCCTACTACAACGTGGACATCTTGAAATACCAGGTCGGTGAAACCACGATGCTGGTCTGCGCGTGCGCGATTGGACATCGCTCGGTGGTGGGAGGGGCTTAGGGCAGAGGGAGGTTTCTTCTTCTGTCTTTTCACAATTCTGGTCGGTTAGCGGAATTTCCTGTAAATCGTGCCTACTGCTCCTTTAACTCTACTTTGGATTGTGTGTGTGTGTGTGTGTGTGGTTGTGTGTGTGTGTGTGTGTGTGTGTGTGTGTGTGTGTGTGTGTGTGTGTGTGTGTGTGTGTGTGTGTGTGTGTGTGTGTGTGTGTGGTGTGTGTGTGTGTGTGTGTGTGTGTGAGACCAGGTGCATTCCAGCGGCATCCAGTCCACCCCTCTTAACCTGGCGGTGTACTGGAAGTGCTTACCCAGCACCACGGACCTCTGCCTGGACTACCGCTTTAACCCGGAGCCCATGTCGGGCCCCGGCTCCCTGGCCAACGTCCAGATCCTGGTGCCGGTGGACGGCGGCGTGAGCAGCATGCAGGCACTGCCCAGCGGCATCTGGTGAGCCGCGGCCGCTTCCCTCTTTACGCACATTAGAGTCGGGGTACGGGTTACCCAATGCAAGAGCGGCGTACATCAGTGGTTGTACATCATCATTTTTTTTTTTGCCGATACCAACCGCTATATTCAAGAGAGTTGCAGTACTGTGAAATCCTAAAGCGACATAAATATACCGTAACCTACGCTCATGAAAACGTCGTTTTGCCACGTCTCACGTGAGAAACGCTGTGGCAGCTTCAAATTCCGACAAACCATTTCACGGTTAATTACTAAACAATCAGCGGGGCACCGTAGGCGTCGCCGGGTCGCATACAAAATCACCCACAGCTTAAAGCATTCTGTCTTTTTGGACTGTACTGCAAATCTATTTGTTGGCGCGTTACGTCATGCGGCGCGCCGGGTCAAAGTTGAAATAATTTCAACTTTGACCCGGCGCGCCACACGACGTAACGCGCCAACATGCGAGGTCGGGCGCATTGGCCCCCCCTCCCCCGGAAATTGCCGCGCCGCTTTCCCCATAGGAAACCAATGGAGTGTGTGGTGCAGGGTGTCTTGACGCGTCTCACCTCAACGCACCTTTAGTCATCTTGATCAACGATGCCGTTGCCTACAGGAAGTAGTTTGCGAACATTGGGGATCGAACCCAGTACCTTTCGGCCTGGAGGCAAACACCCTGGCTACTGCACTATGCTGCCCCCATTTTTTATATCATGAGTTAGCTGAATGGAGTTGTTTTTCACACATTTTTGTGTTTTTTAACCTAAAAAATAACTGATTGTCTTTTTTTTTCTAGGAATGCAGAGCAGAATAAGTTCCTGTGGAAGCTGAGCGACATATCAGACAAGAGCGACAACGAAGGTAAAGTCACATGTCTGCCACATCCAGCGGTATCGGATATGCGTTGATGAGAGTTATGCTTCCTTCCTTCCCCCTAGATCTACATCTACATCTACAATTAAAGTTACCGAGACACACACACACACACACACACACACACATACACACATCTCTTACTGCCCTATTGGTGTTCATGTTTGTGTTTCTGTCCTGTGTTTTAATTTTTGTTATTTACGGTTAGTTATGTTATACTGTTGAAGGTCAACCTGTGTGTGTGTTTTGTGTGTTTGTGTGTATGTGCGCACTTTTGTGTGCGCTTGTGTGTGTTTGTGCGGTCATGTGCGTGTGTGTGTGTGTGTTTGTGTGTGTGTGTGTGTGTGTGTGTGTGTGTGTGTGTGTGTGTGTGTGTGTGTGTGTGTGTGTGTGTGTGTGTGTGTGTGTGTGTGTGTGTGTGTGTGTGTGTGTGTGTGTGTGTGTGTGTGTGGTGAACCCAGGGGCTGGCTCTCTCAGGGCTAAGTTTGAGCTGTCCAGCGGGCCGTCCACACCTGCCACCCTGGCGGTGCAGTTCATGAACGAGGGGAGCACTCTGTCAGGGGTGGACATGGAGCTCCAGGGGACCGGCTACCGGCTGTCCCTCAGCAAGAAGAGGTTCGCCACAGGTATGTACGGCTCCACCGCCTGCTCCTTCTCCATGCGGCCTCCATGAAATAATGTATAATATATATACAGTATAATATATACAGTATATATATATATATGTATGAACGACCCGCCTCCTAGCGACGGCTGGCAGCGAGTAGACAGAGCGCCCACAGGTGCAAATTAATCTTTTGGTGTGAGCGCACAGTTAGTGTGTTAGGACTGTGGCAGGCTAGCACATCGGCGTGCTAGCATGTTAGCATTAGCATGGTAATGGCAAAGCGCACACTCGTCATGGGGAGGTTGCTCAGACCCAGTAGAGGTGGACCTCCCGAGCCCACTAAGGGTTTTCTCGTATTTTTGATTTTTTTTTTGTTGTATATATAATGTTTGTATTCCTCTACAGTTGTATTTGATGTTTATTTTGTATC